ACAGCAAAGCCAAAGAAATATTTACACATCATTGCCTTTCCTAGATGCTATTATCCTGAATCTAGTTTTCCAGCTGATGTAAATCCAGATGATGTAAATCATCATGACTCTATGGACATAATCTAGCCAAACGAATGGCCAAAAGTTTCTATGCTAATACCCGTTGTTTTTCTAGGCTGGCATAGTTTTTGGGAATTGTGTTGAAACGTTATTTAAATTAAAAGGGAAATGGCTCATTGCTAGTTTAGATTTCTATTAAAAAATCTCTGATTTAAAAGGTGCTATAACCTTTTACAGGCAGAAATAAATGTGTTGAGGAGAATAGTTGAAAATGCCAGCTCCTTCCAGCCTTAAAAATCTCTATGAATGCAACATTTCTAGTTAAACACAAATATCTATGCTGTGTATAGCATCCACTCCAAATGAAAATGTGTTCTCTGTATCAGAGAGAGCTCTGTTAAAGAAGATATTTACCAAAGGCCAAGTCTCTTTATTCATAATGAAGCTGATTGATAGCAAAATTTTCATCAATTAAATGGAGGAAGCACAGTAAGATCAAATGGCTGGGGTTGGGAGTGATTTGGGGGTGTGTTGGGGGAAGGCTGCAGCCATACACTTCTCCAGTTCACAGCTTCTTGATAATATTATTTGTATTATTTGAAGATTTCTGGATGTTTATTAAAGCGGAGTTGAGTTTGGAAGAAAAGAGGAAGGCTATGAGACTGACACAAAAATGTGGGAATAGAGGGGTCAATGAAGAAGAAACAGTAAGGTCTCTAATAGTAAAATAAACATTTTTAACCTCACCTTTTATAGTTGAAGATGCTAAAGAGTTCTGTAAAGTCCCTGTATGTGGCCTGGATGGAGAAGGCAACAGGTGACCAGCATGCAACATATCTGCAGGAAACAGGGCAGATTTTTCTACAGGTTACAGGACAACTCTTTACTCTTACAAGTCTAAACTGACCTCTTTATCCAATGCTGTGATATTGTTTTCACTTATTAATAGATTTTTAAGGTCAGTGGGAATATGATGAACATCTTGACTGAACTCTTGCAACAACAGCCAAAGGATTCAATCCTGTAACTCCTGCCAATAGTCTCTGATTGAGCAACAGCCTCTTTGAGAAAGTTGTCAGTTTATTCCAGTGACTAATGTTAGAGAGGAAAAAGTTCCTCTGAGTAGACAAAATCTTATCTGTCATGTTCTGATGTTTATCCAGGGCTTAACATTGTAAGGGAATGATCAGTGCAGCTGGTAAAAAGCAGCTCTGTTCTTTGTCAACTGTTGTGTATTCAGCCAGCATTCATCAGGCTGGAGCTCCAGTCCGCTGAATCTCTCCCCCTAGCTTCAGTATTAGCTAACTCACTTAATGCTACCCCAGAAACACATTGAGTCCCTGACATATATAGATTTTAAGAAGGCAAGGATAAAATTCCCAGTATAAAGATGTTGTGGTTTAACCCCAGCCGGTAGCCCCATAACTAGCTACTATGAAGAAAATTAACTCTATCCCAGCCAAAACCAGCTCAAAAGAGAAAAATAATACACCAGATGTTGTGGATAGAGGGTGTGTCATACAGAGTGACACCAGAAGACTAAGTTGTTTGCACATTTTTTGGTGCCTTTTGGTTTTCCTGACTGTTGCACCAAATGCTGGTGCACCAGTAGTACAAAGAGGGCAATTCCTAGTGGCACTACAGCTCCGTACATCAAGCTGCCTACGTACCTGGAGACAGATGCCTACTGTTTATTAAGCAGCACGATGAAGTGATTCAATTCAGAGAAGCAATGTTCTGGTGTGGAGGATGGAGGGAGTTGTGAAATGTTTTCTTTTAGTTTATTTGGTGGCAGGGGAACCTGGTAAAAACCAATTTATAAATTTGGTAGGCATCCAGTCTGTTTTTGTCATCTGGACAACTAAAAGCCATAAATATAGAATAATGCTATTCCGACAGTGAATTATACTTCCTTTGTCATTATTCTGAGCAGTTGTGGAGCCCAAGAGCTTTGCTGACACAGGAAAGTTATACAGGTTCGCCCAAAGTAGTACAGTCATCTCCTGTTACCACAAGGCATGTGATTTTTCTTTTTTCCCTTTGGTTCAATATATTTTACAATTTTTTAGTTGAAAGAAACTAGAAAAGGGCAAAGGACAGGAGAAGCATAGTCCTTATCTCTAAATGGATTTCAACGTATTCTGGGAGCACATGAGGTAAAAACTTTCAGCTGGCCTAAGCCTCCACACGTGTCTTGTAGGACCTTTTAACTTTTGTTTCATCTCCCTTTAAGTTTTTTGGGGACAAGGAATACCATTGCTTCATCTGTTGGTTTTATCCAGCATTTTGTGAGAAATTTTCACCTCTCTCAATATCTTGGACCTTTTATGGTCCCTTTATGATAGTTTTTAGCTCATCACTGTCTTCATCTTCATTTCATACATGCAGGCCTCAGTCAAAGAGAAGGAGATGACTGGTGTGGAATCTGTCAGGAAACTTCACCCAGCGAGGTGCTGGATCTGTCCTTTACAAGTGCCCTAACAAAAGGAGCTCCCTTTGTTCCTGTTCACCCCATGTTCAATAAGATAATGGAAACCACACAATTTGTTCAGTTTCTTTCTCCTCAGAGAAATAGTAAGCCAAAGAGGAAAAAGCATTGTCCCAGTGGATCTATGAGACAGATCACTGCTAAGCAGAAGAAATAGCTGTAACAACAAAACGCTGATTTCTGAGGTGCTTCAGTGCTCCAACTAGTATTTTACATTGATTATATGCCAAGTCATTATTTAGGCAAACTAGATAATCTGCATTGCAACTTCAAATGGAAGAATCACTGAGGCACCTGCTCTGTGTTTGTCTGATGGAATAGAGAAACTTGATACGAATAAAAGAAGAAAAGAGATGTTGGTCCCAGATACTGGCCATCCCTGAGGCACGTGTTTGAGCAGTGAGACTGTGATAAGAGCCACCACAACACACTCTGTGGGCTGTGCAAGAGGGAAGGATTTAGTCAGGTTTTTCTGCCTTCTCCAACAGATGTGTTGACAATCCATAAGCATATGGCTCTCGTTTGCAGGAGTTATTTGCCCCCAGGAGCTTTAATGTAATTTTCAGGCAGTTTCCTAGCCCCTATTTCTCTCATTTCTTAAATATATGTGTTTCCTCAAAAGGATAATAATCCTCTGAAACAGAAATGGATGGAATTCAGCCGAGTCAAAACCAATCAGATCCTTCAGATTTGAGGTTTATATACTTCATTTAAATGATCTGCTAATGAACATGAGCAGAAACACGGAGCAGTGTTGGTCACAGGGAATTCACTGACATTCATTCACTTTGATTTTTTTTCTCTCTTCTCTGTTGGTGCCCACATTATCTGACAAAAGTGGTTTTTTACCTATTTTTTTTAATTCCTTTTTTTTTTTAATCAAAGACATTATTGGCTTTTTATTGCTTTCTGGAGAGAGATTGAATGAATAATCAAAGCTGCTTCTATCTGCAGCATATAAAATTATTCAAGTTAACATTGCAGATGCTAGGGAAGTGGGGACAAGGAATGTCTCATGGAGTCTGGAAATCTCTCCTTACCCACACCAGGAGAGTCTTTTGTACTTTGAGGCACCATGAGTGTGAAGGCTTGTTTTTGGTGAGTCTTAAGGTTGTAAAGATGGGTTATTTGTAGCTTAGAGCTTTGAAGTTTACCCACAGAGTGAAAAAGTTGCCTCCTACTTTCCTTACTGGATCTGGCCAACTGTAGAGACTTCACTTTCTTGAGGGTTCACTTGGTAATCTCAAAAGAGCATCAAGATAAAAGTGATCTTAACCATTTCACAGCTAGGTAATGAATAGGAGCAAAAAAGCATGGTGTAGACGTGATGTGCCTCTGGTAAATCATCAACAAAACTCTGACTTTAAATGTTCACTTTTCAGAAGATAATACAACTTTTTAAAGGAAAAGAAAGTCTTTATGATTGATGCACTAAAGTAGGGCTCAGGAGACAAGCTAAAAACCTAATTGCTTCTGCAGCTTTTATGAGTGTGATTCATCTGATATAACTTTACCTACCTGTAAGTTAAGTGTTTAATCTACGCTGGTTATTCAAGGCCCTTCTATGAGAGAGACACATATTTCTAATTCGTCTAACCTATCCTAAATGATAGCTCTTTCTAACGTGCTTTATTACTTTCCTATGGCAAGAGAGTGAGTCTCGTTCTCTTCCTAAGCATGTAGTTTAGATGGATCCATCTCATCCACCTTCATCATTCCCTTGGCATTGTAGCAGCAAGGACCTTTTCTCCACCTGAGCCTCAGCTTCCCCTCTGGCAGAGCTTTTGGGGATGCATACAGTATCATTTATGGGGTGCATATACATGACAAGTTATGTACAAAGGCCAGGCTAAAAGCCTGCAATAAAATGGATAGTAGTTACATTTTGTATTTGGCTGGTCATTCCTCTTTTGGTAAACTTCAAGGCTTTAAATGATGTTCATACAGTGTCCTAGGGCAGAGCCATAATGGCATAGTGTCTCACTTAGAATAATTAAAATTTCTCTTAGAACGCTTGGGGCCCAGAACAGAAGGCTGTTGTATGACAAAATTACAATGAGTAATTCTATTTTTTTTCAATGGTAGAGTTTAAAATGTGGGAAAATCTCAATAGCCTGGTTAGCTGATCAGCCTGGGATGCTAGGTTGATTGACAAACTTTTGAGAAAGTGGATGGATCCCATATTTACTGTTTCTGCATTGTGTTTGCAAGTAATAACACAATGCTAAATTTTGTGATCTAGTCTTTGCAGTTCAAGGCTTATCAACACTTTCTATGAACAAACATACTAGTAATATCTTGAACAAGGTTGGTCTATTAGTCCCATTTTCTTTTTTTCTTTTTCTTGCAAGTAGCCCTGTTGTGGAGCTCAGCATTATTGTAAGCTGTTTTGTGATCAACTAAAATAAGCAAAATATGTCCTTAATTTCGCCTTGCTTTTTTTTCCTTTCAGTGGCTGCATCAACTGCTAATTCCACAGCTGGTGCGGCCATGAATTCTTTGACTTCTCTGGGTACTCTCCAAGGATTGGCTGGAGCCACTGTTGGACTGAATAATATTAATGCACTAGCAGGTACCGTAAACAGTGAGTATTTATTGCTGTGGTGGACAGCCTTCCCCGGTAATCATGCCACAAAAACTATCAATTGTAAAGCGATGATATGATTATTTTTAATCTATATACAAAATAAGGGGGTCAAGTTCATCTAGTTCCATTCATGGTACATATGCAGTTCTGGAGTCTTTTAGTTTCACGTAGTTTGCTCTGCAAAGTGAAGTCCCTTGGGTCCCTGCACAAAGACTCCTGTTCTTGCAGGGCGTATGGGAGGTAAAAGAAATGTCACCAGGGATTTGGGTTATCTAGGTTATAGGAGAGGCTCCTTTTTCATTTAGGGAGTCTGACAACAGGTATATCACCCCAATGTACAAAACCTCACTCAGAAATGTAGTGATAAGAAAGATGTTTGCCACGGAGGCAGTCCTTTTAAAATGTCTGTAGGAATTATCAAATTGACTTGAGAGCAACATACTTTAAAAATGAAGGCAAGTCTTTGGCTTTTAATTGGCAAGTATGAGAGAATGATGCAGTCAGTTACCTGTAATACCAGAGCATGCACATCTATCCTATGACATCTTAAACAAACCCTGGCATCTCCAACTAAGTAGATGCCGGTAGTTGTTAGAACATTCTTCCTTGTTCTTAGCCTTGGTCAAGATTTTCCTGAAGAAGAAGGACTTTTTTTTTTATTGTTTCTGCTATGATGACTTCACCTTTGCCTGCAATGGAAGAGATTTGTCCAGCTGCATTTTCCCCCCTTCTTTTTTTTTTTAGCTGCTGTTGCTCCTTGCATTTCCTTTTGCAATGCAAGGAATCTATTTGGTCATTGCCAGTCCGTGACCCATCATAATGTACCCCCAGGAATGGATGTCCTCCTCAGTATCTCTTGCTCACTCTGATGCTCTGCATGATGTCCTTTTTGTCACTGTTACTTGGCTGCTCACCCAATCTTTTTGTTCTGTGATCTCTGGTTGTCATTGTTGGGAGTTGGGAAGGAAGGGGGCTAATGGATGTCCATGTAGCAATGTTGAGTGGTTGCATGGGGTCTTGTATAAAACAGGTCTTGCTTCTGGCAAGGACAAGCGTATTTCACACAAACAACCTCATAGTAAATATGACTCAAGAACAACTTAAGAAAAGTAAGTATTAGGTCCCAAAATGGCAGAAGTTAGTTTCCTTTCTTATTATTACATTAGTATTAAAGCAAGCCACTAAAAATGGCATGCATGAAAAGCTAACGATCTCCTCTTGTGAGCTCTCTTAGCAAGAGACCTACCCTGTCATAAGTAAGAAATCATTAAATGTGCTTTCCTGATAAACAGTCATTGTGCTTTACTTGGTTTATAAGAGTCACAATATCAAGAGCAGAGTATGGCTTCCCACTCCTTCCCTCCCACAAGTACTAAGAACCCAGACACACTGGAGCACTCCAAGATAATGTCCCCTTCATCAAGACCGAGCAAGAATGAATCACCTATGAGCTCTTGACTTTGCATGGGAACCCTTCTGTTGCACTCCTTTTAACTCTTCTTGCTAGGCTACAAGCAAAGAGGTTATGTTTTCTCAGCAAGTATTTTGAGGTGATGTGTGTGCAAACTTATCTGCATGTGTCATTTGAAGTGTTAATGACGTGTTCACAACCTAGTACCAAATTTCAGCTTGTTTTAAGCCACCATTACTTCCATGGACTTGTACCAACAGCGGCTTCAGTCCCAAGTCTTCTTCATGGATGTTTTTATGGACACAGAGAGTGTACGTGCCTAGAATATCTCTATGTGTATAGCACTCACTTACAAAATATATGTGGCTATGTCTGTCTATGTATATACATATAAGAGAGGGAGATCTAAAGAGGGGAAACTGCTTCCCCACAACACAACACACTGTTGTGGCACTGTTTCTCTCAAAAGGGTGACACTGATTATCAATTTCAGGTACTTGTGATGCAATGATAGCAAAGCATTGTTCAAATTGCAACAACCTCCCTTGTCTATTTTAATGATGAGACAGTGCTTTTCCTAGTGACCGTGTCTGATCCAGTCGTTCACACTCAAACCTGCCTAGGAGTTTGCCTTCGGGAAACCTCACGATCAATGAGTCTGATGTTTCACACTATGCCATGGTCATAAGCACTCCAGTAAAAACATTCAAACATCATCTGGTCATGGAGGTTCCTGAAGTAATTATGCAGAGAAGATGGAATTGAGTGACATGCTTCTAATTGGGGAATTAACAAGAGTGATCCGAAGCACAAGTCAAGCAGAGCTTAACCCAAAAATGAATCAGAAGGTGGCACTGGGCTTGGGCATTGATTTACACAGAGGTGTTGGAGAAGAGGTACTCTTCTGTTGAAGCCATGTCCTGCTCTGTATGTGAGAATCACAAGGAGAATATCTTCCAGACTGAGCTCACTAAAAGACTTTTATCAGTTTTCTGGATCCTGTCTGGGTCCATGAAAAAGCAGCTGGGCTGTGGAGACCGATAGTGCTGTCATTGTAGAGAGAAGCATTGTAGAAAGTTGTCTGGAGGCCTTAAAAATTAAAGAAAGTGGAGTATGGTAAGTTTAACTGTCTCCAAGGGTTTGGCAACAGTTGTATGTACATTTGGGGATTCACCCAGTCTTCCCTCAGTTGTGCTTGAAGCATCTAAAACCTTAAATGACAAAACATTAAACTGTCTCCTTTGGGCATGTAAATTTAAATAATGTAACTAACAAAAAGAATTATGAATAATGAGGAAAAATTAATAAAGAGAGAGGAAGAGATTCTTTGCAATTAAGAAAGAACACCGTGGATTCAGGATACTGGACAGCTATGACACAATATTTGTGTGTGAACCCAGGGCAGTCTCTTAGCCTTTCTGCCCCCATATTTACATCTGTAAAATGGAGATAAAACTATTTGTGACAGATTTGAAGGTGCTTGGAAAGCACTTTAAGAGACCGTTGGACTTGCCAAGCATTGTCACTTCTGTATTATGTAGAGTAACCCAAAAAAGTAGAAGGCCGTAGATGAGAGACTCCAAAAGGTTATTTCACAGAAGTGAGGAAGGAACCAGAGTTCAATATCAGACTGAGGTGCATTGGTAGAGATAATAAAGAGATGGCGGAGATGTGTAACTGCAGCTGGACCTTGTAGATTTCATAAAAATGTAAAAATGGAGAATAGAAAAAATGTCAAGAGCTTTCTGCAGATCTGTTTTGCTCAGGAGGGAGGTGTATTTAGACACGTGCGCTGCAGTAGCAGTAGCAGTGCCCTTCCCAGAAACAGTGCGGTGAGCCGGGGCTGTCTGGCTGTTTGCTAATCTGAAATCATTGGGTGGGAAGGGGCTATTGATTCTAGGTGAAAGAAGGGGGAGGATGCTGCCCACTGCGACACAAAGAATGTTTATCTAATAGGCTGATGAGTCACAAAAGATAACACGTTATCCTAATGCTTCCTCTATTATCAAGCTATTTCAACACTATAATAAAAGGAGAGATATAAGCTGCTTTGTCAGGAGCCTTTACTTTAACCAGTGCTGTGTGTACACCCATGCAAGCAATGACACAAACCTAAGTACGAAAACATCAGAGCAGGTTAAGGTCAGGCTCAGGATATTATTGTTGTTGTTGTTGTTGTTGTTGTTGTTGTTGTTGTTATTGTTATTATTGTTATTATTGTTATTATTATTTTGAATCTTCATTTTCCAAATGTCCTGTCTTTTAGATATAAGATGCTTCACAAGCTATCTTGGTTTGCAAGCTTTTGTTTTATAACTGGAACCATTATACAACAAATATCTGGCACTCTTGTGCTCTGACAGAGGTTTTTGTTCAAAGTAGTGGCAGCCAGTACCTCCTATCAGGATGCAGCGGTGCTCTGAAGTGAGGTGGAGGGGAAAGAGAAATCTTCAAAGTGCGAGACATTTTATTAAGGAAAGGCTAAGAATATCACATCTCTGTCAAGTGTTTAGTCACACAAATTATAGTAATATCAAAAGGTATAATTTATGCAGTACAGTTCTCTTAATTGGCACAGACTCTGGTGGAGCCAGAAAGGTGCCACTTGAGCAATTGTCCTGATTATCAGAGACTCATAGGAATACACTTTTCGAATCTACATAAGAGATGGAAGAAAACTAGTAGGTCAGCATCTTTATCCTCCTCTGTCAATGCAGGATAATTCCCTGCAGTATTCATTCTATCTCTGAATTACTCATGTGATAAGGTTTATGCCACTTTCTTGAAGATTGTTTCCCAGTCTAATAGATTTCATTGTTAATTCACTATAAAGTGTCCTCTGCTTTATTTCCTCACATTTCTCCAATTTACATATAATCGCTTATTATTGCTCTGAAATGAAGCCCTCTCCTTCTCTTTAGTGTTCCTAGCTTTTTGGATCTTAATATGGCTCCACCAGTCACCTCTTCACCCATCATTTTGCCAACCGAAACACTACACAGTCAGTGTCTAAGAAATGGTTGCTGGTGGTTCCGGATGCCCCATTTTTCCGGTGACTGATCTACTGTACCTTGAGGGGCCTGATTAAGCCCTTTTAAATTGCTTGTGAGCTGTTTACCTAAAAACTGGGGAGCACGGGATAGCTAGTTGTGCAGAAAACTTGGCTTAACTCTCAGTCCTGATGAGCGCTGTCAGCTCCGGTTGACACAAGTCGAAGGTGTGGGCAATGAGCAGGGCTCTGAACTCTGCCACCCCTTCAACTGCCAAAGAGACTGTAGCTCTAACAGGGAAAATTCACTTTTTCTGGAATTTCTGAAAAAAGTAAGTGGTAACACTGTTAACTTTAACGTGGCTCATTTAGGAGCCATCATGATGGATAGAAGCAACGGAGAGAGGCTGTAGCCCAGGAGTTTGTCCACCATTGAGTCAGAGTAGTAAAACTTCTTTTGCAGACAGCACTGTTTGCACGGATGAGGGATGCCATTTTCCGCACAGCTAGCAATCCAGTCTGAAATTTCCTCTTTGGCAGTCATCCCAGTTAAATTAATCTGATATTTATCAGGATGTAGAATCACTTTAAAGAAAAAAAAAAAAATGCGACTGTGCTTCCAGTGAGAAGAAAGACATTGCTAGAACCAAATGCTTTTGTTTCTTCGTGAAAGATGCCTGGTCTGGATGAAGCACTTTTAGTCACTCCAGATGTGCTGCCGTTCATCTCTTCTGGAGTAACTGAAGGAGGAGGGTGGAAGCGCAGAGCATTGCAGTCCATCTTCCTACCGCAAACCTAAGGGACGAAGCGCATAATTGTGCAGAGGGCTGTTTCAAAATGCTGTTAATCAGGGTTCTCTGCTAACTCTGTATAAGCAAAACACTCCTGATGTGATGTGTTTATGTCCTGTTGATAAAGACCCTGGTCAGAAAGAGTTGGTTTCCTCACAGATTGCTTTTTCCCGGTGGCCAGCTTGCACGGATGCAGGTCAAATGGGTCCCACTCTACCAGCTTCAGATACCCTCAGCAGAAGCATGGGTGTCAAGGAGGGTGGGCAGAGAGTTTTTCAGGAGCACCGAGCTGTAGTACTTGCCAGTAGCAGGCTGCATGCAAGTCCGTTTGACTGTGCAACCCTTGTGCTAAAGTGATCCTGACGCCAAAGTCGTGTTTCTTTGTTTTCAGTCCCATTTGGTGAAGTGCTGACCTGCATGCACTGCCGTCATTGTCAGTGTCATATAATACCAACGACTTTCGGAAAGCACTAATGAACAAGTGCAATTTCTTTTCTCTATTGTTGGGTTTTTTGTAAAGTTGCTCAAATGCTCTCAGGTATGGCGGCCCTGAACGGAGGACTCGGCGCAACAGGCTTGACGAACGGTACGGCCGGCACGATGGACGCGCTCACCCAGGCCTACTCAGGAATCCAGCAGTACGCTGCCGCCGCGCTGCCGACGTTGTACAGTCAGAGCTTGTTGCAGCAGCAAAGCGCTGCGGGCAGCCAGAAGGAAGGTAAGCGCCCGCTGCCGGCGGAGCAAGCCCCACGCTGAGCAGACTACGTACGGCCAAATGAAAGTGGTGTCGTGGGTTTGTTTCTTTCACAGAGGCTTAACGAAGGACCTCGAGTAGCCTAATCTTTGATCGTTTCTCAGTTTTCTGTTTAGTATTCTTTTTTTTGACCTCTAATGTAATTCATTTTTTAACCATCTGTCCTTTAAGTTATACTTTACTGACCATCCTTTCTTATATAAAAGCTTTTACCAACTGCCACGTGAAAAGGCACCAGTAACAAAAATCATCCCTTTATGGGTGCCATTCTCTCTTCTGGTTTCCATTTTCTGTGATAATGGAGTTAATCTGATTAGGTTTAAGGTTTTGAGTTAATGACAAGATCCGTTTTCGCTTTGAGTGGTTCTTTGCTTAATTGTGGGTCTTGCGGGGAAGCAACTAAGTGAATGATTGCCCCCTCTCCCCGCGCCAACAGCAAATAAACCTCAGGAAGTTACTGCTAAGAATAAATGAATACTGATTACAAGATGTTTAGGAAAATGAGGTTACCCTTTTCCCCTCTTACGTTCCCCTGCACACTTCCCAGGCATTTTGGGGGGTTGTTTCTGTTTTCATTGCTTTCTCTCATCCTAATTTCCAGCTAATTCTAGAAGGACAGGAAAATATTGCATGCCTTCTAAGATTGTATCTATGTTGTCACTACTGTTCTTGCCAGGGCTAAGATTTGGAAATAAATCTAGTATAATATCCTCAAAAGAAATTTTCTTATCCTCTTTTAAAATAGTGTCTTGTACTGTTATGGGAAGTGTTTCCTAGGAAGACAAATTTGGCATTCCCCCAGCTGGCTATTGTATAGGGACACTGGAGTTAAAATGTATATTTTCTCTGAATTCTTTACTTCATTTACTGCTAACAGCTTGGATTGTTTGAAATGAAAGGATTTTTTTTTTAATTAACTTTTTTCCCCTCATTTTTTCGTGTTCTCTGCAGTTGTCTTTCTTCTCACTCACTTTGGTCAGTGACAACAGACTGTTTGGCACCAGAAAGAAATTGTTTATTTGGTGTCATTGTAAGATACATATTGGAGGACAGTTTGATTTTTTTTCTAACTATTTTAATTTTTTTCTGTTTATGAACGTTCATATCAAGTGTAGGCTTACTTTTTATTATTATGAATTGGCAGTGTCCCTTTTAAAATACAGTCTTTTTTGTTATATGTCTTGTTCCTGTTAGTAAGGGGTTAAGTTAAAGTGAGTAAATTCCATCATTGAATACTGACAACTATGTTTTGTCTCTTAACATGATTTTTAATAGAATGGTGAAGAGTCTGAAGTGATTGAGGATAAACAAGTACCAGAGAAAAATGCTATATAAATATTAAATGCTGAAGCACAGTGAACTACCTCACATATGCTCTAAACTATTGTTTAATAAGTTTTCTCTTACTATTTTAAAAAATGTTATTTTCTGAATAGGATAGTTTACTTGCGGTGAGAAGAAATAAGTTCCAGGTAGCCAATTTTTTTCCACTTTTTTTTTTTTACCCCCCAAAAATGTTTTTCTTTTTAAAAACTTTTTTTTTCTAATCCATTTATCCCCTCCTTTTGGGCAAACACTGCAACCTTTTCCTTCAGGCTGAGAGAGAGCAGCCAGCCTGGTTCTTCTGTATGGGAGAGGTGAGGAATTTGTGACTCTGTTGCAGAAAGGTACTCTATAAATCTGATCCGCGCTTTCCTCTTCCTCTCCAGAAAACCAAGGACATCACATCTGAGGCACGCTTAGGTTCCATTAAGCAAGGGAATACTTAAATAGGTTACTCTAGATGTGTTTTTACCAGAAACATTTGTTCCCTTTGTGTACCCCTTATGCTACTGGTGTCAGCATGGGAAAGCCACACGTCTGGCTCCATCATACCTCATGTTCTTCCAGGCATCCATTGCTCATTTTCAGTATGTTATTGTAAAGGAGAAATTGAGCTAGGGAAAAAAATAACCTACTAGTGCTAGGATGAGTGTTTGAACCAACAGCACTAATAATGTGTATCTTAAATTTTGGCTGTAAGAAAAATATTCAAAGTTTGCACCTTTCTTTGCAAACTCAACTTTGTCTAAAGCCACTTTAATTTCAACCCAACTACTTTACTGAACTTTTTTAAAAGACTGACTTCACAAAGTTTTTTCCAGGAAACAGAGCCTTCTATGGGCAATTTGTATTTTAAAAAAAGCTGTCATTTTGAAATGAGTCAGTACAAATTTAATTCTGAGTATCTTTCTCTCTCTGACTTCCCTGATTTCCAAGTCACAAGGTTTGCTTTGTCTTATCCTTTTTATTCCCATCTCCACCAGTTTCCTGCCCTTTGAGTTTACATCTGTGATACTCAAATCTGAGCTCAGCTCATTGCATTTCCGTAAGTTCCCACAACTAGAATTAAACCGACAAAGCCATGCAGGTGTTTGAGGCAGCAAAGAACTCCTTGTGCAGTTCTTGGGGTATTGTGAGAGTAATACATTGTGTACCTGTTTTTCTAACCATAATTCTACTGAAAGACACTCGTATAAATTGAAGAAAGAGGCTGCAGTTTAACAACTTCTGTAGTAGAGTTATCAAGTAAACACTTTTCAAGATAGGATGCTCTAAAGAGCTGCATTTCAGCTCTGTTCCTTTGATGATCCAGTTGCTTTTGTTCAGTCAAAGTTGGAAAGTGAAATGCTTTCTGACCATCACCTTCAGTAAGTATTATGGAAAAATAGATTAAATATAGCACTTGTAATAGCTGTTTTCATACTTGTTTGTTTGTTTGTTTTCCTAAAGGTCCAGAAGGGGCAAACCTCTTTATTTACCACCTCCCCCAGGAGTTTGGAGACCAGGACATTCTGCAGATGTTCATGCCTTTTGGAAATGTTATCTCTGCTAAAGTCTTCATTGACAAACAGACCAATCTGAGCAAGTGCTTTGGTATGTCAAATTTAATAAATCGAATAGTAAAAACCACATGCACTGTACTGAAAAGGGGCCAGGAAAGAAAATTAACAGCAATGTGAGAAATGTCATACTGGAATCTCATTCCAAAAATAATGGACTGTTAATCCTCAAATGAGCGGGAAGATCCACGGACAAACCAGTTCTAACTAAAAATTAGATACGAAAAAACAATAATAATCTTCCAGTCTGACATCTCGCATGAATGTGTCAAGTACATGAAACTAATTACACCCTATGTGGGCGAATGTCATTTAGTATACTATTAAACTGCCTTATTATGGATACCTAATTATTCTCTATTGTATAGCTGAGCCACTTAAAAATGCTCTATGTTTAACCCATTGCTTCTACATTACAGGAATTTCTTTCTTCTGAATTAAGTACAAGATTTTGCAATTAGTGATTGAATGGTGTGTACATGTAGCTCAGAACGCTTTGCAGACAGTTGATGTCTAGATATGCAGCTCCAGCTGTTGCAGGCGGGCTCCAGTGTATTATGGAAAGTAGCATCTCCCCTTACCTTAGGGCAAGGATGAAGGGAGCCTCACAAGATCAGTGTCAAGTTTCCCAGAGAACACTTTGAGCTGCCAGAAAATAAGATCACAACAGAGGAGAAGATGATATGTTGGTATAAAACAAGTTCTAGGGTTGATTAAGTGGGCTGATGTCTTCTGAATAGCATAGATGCACAGTTCAGCGCTTTGATGGAGTGGAGTGCAGAATGTAAGCGAGTGGCAATCTGTTAGAGCATTGGTCTAATAATTGTGGTTTTATGCAAGACACGAGGAGGGTCTAGGAGGAAGAAAGAATCTCTTAAAGATAAGTTTTATAAGGTTTGACCTAAAATATTGGAGCTTCCGTAAAAGTGACAGTTCTTTCCCAGAGTAAAGGAACGCAACTGTATGTACGACAAAAGAGGAACCAGTCCAGACAACCCCCTCGTTTCCAAAACTCCCTTGCACCAACAGTGTTGCTCTTTGCCCAGCACCATCCCTTAATTCTGAAGTGTCCCCATTTGAAGTGTCCCCATTAACCATAATACATGTTTCTTAGCTTGCACATCATTACTTTTTTTTAAATCTAGGTTTTGTTAAAATGTGTCTGTCTCAGGATTTCTCTCCACCAGGGCCATTGAAGGACCCCACAGCTATTGGGCTTTAACCCATCTTGAAAGGGTTTGAATTTATCTAAACAGACAGTACCCAAACACGAGGAGAATTCATCAACTTACTCAGAAATACCTACTGCACTGAAATTCAAGCCTTAGAATCCTTGCCACAATCTGAGTGTTTTTCACCTGAAGACAAGCCCTTAGTACACTTGGAAAGTTAATTTGGTTCAGAGAAAGGGTGTGACATTCTTTCTGCATTTTTCCATAGTTTTTCAGTTCATTTTTGAAGCTTTCACCTCTTTAAGCTTTACAAAAAGTTGTTCATATCTAGACTAATATAGTCCAGCATGTTTCTGCAATGGGTTAAAACAGTCCCTGAGGCTGTAGCAAATTTGAAAAGTCGAATTGAAATGGACTCCGTATTGATCAGGAGCCAGTTCAGTTAGTATGTTGAGGTGACAAAATCGTTGTTGAGGTCTCCAGGAATCTCGATGAAATGTCAAATCAAGCTACGTTAATCGAAATGCAGCAATTATGGTGACGGCTGAAAGAATGTAGATTAGTTTGGGCAGGCAGCTCAATTCATGAGCTCACTTCCCACACTTGCTTTTTGTGGGTTTCCTTTTACTCTTTGATTACCTACTTACACATTTGTCTGGATTTATGGGACACAATTACCTAACTTGGAGTGATGCACCAAGGTTATCTTATTTGAGGGAAAATGGAGGGGTCAACACCCGATAGATAGAGGAGTCCTCTGTCTTTTTGGCATTAGTCAGCTTTCACTAACATTTCAATTTCTCATTCTTCCTCCCCAGATATTCTGCCACCAGTGAGAGGGTTCTGCTTTAAAAACAAAAAGTACTGCAGTGGCAGGGGAAGTTGAGATTTTTCTGATTCAGTAGGTGACTACTTGGTGATGCTGCTAATCACAGACAAAGCCAGAATTAATCCTGCTAGTTTAACATACCAGCATACTCTGTATGAACCTCCTCAGCTTTTAGCAAGAATCATCTATTTGTTGTTTTGGTCCCATATTTGTGTTTTAAAAAGCTTTATTTTTTCTCTGTCCTCCCACCCAAAAACAAGGACAATAGTGCATCTGAAGAACCCATTTCTCTCCTGTATCGTTAATGGTCATTGCTCTTGGTACAGTTTGGGTTTGGGTTTTTTGGTTGGTTGGTTTGGTCTTTTTTTCCCTTGTAGCAGTAGTAGTAATAATAATAATAATGATGATGATGATGTTTTGCACGTGCTTGGTGCTGACTACTCTGGAGTTTCCAATCTCCTGCCCAATTTGCATGTGCTTGGTGCTTTCTACTCTGGAGTTTCCAATCTCCTGCCCAAAGGAGGAAGAAGTCAAATTACAGATGAGGACAGGCTGAACACCAGAAAGGTGAAAAGATTGTCCAAGGCTGTCCACTGGCAGAATTGGGAAGGGAAGGTGCATTCTGAGTGAGTCACAGGGTAGTGATACACAGTGATGAACTTTTAGGTAACACTGCTTCTCAGAATGAAAAATTACTTTTCTTTGCAGAAAATGGACTTTAGCATTATTTGCTTTCTTGTCGACCTCAAATGAATGCTCAAAAGATTAAATGGTGATAAGGATGACAGGACAGTCTGTTTACACCTGGAAGTGCTCTTCCATGAGTTCTCATGAGCTCTAGTTGATTCAGCAGACAAAGGGTTTCACTCTTCAAGCTTATCTCTCGCCTTTCATAAACCCTAGAATTACAGAAATGAGAGATGTAAAAGTAAGGCAGGGAAGGGGGGACCCAATGACATCAGTGCATAAATGCAGTCTGCCTCATAGCAAAATTGCTACTCGAATGATTAAAAATATTTATCCTGATTATAGAGATACCTAGAGATTTAAAACAAAAATCAGAATTGTCATGACAGGGTCTTTGAAAATTGGTAAGAAACATCATCCCATCCTCATGTAACCTGCGGTTTAAAATTCAGACAAAAAATGATGAATGGGTGCAATCAGAAAAAGATAAAGGGAGAGAATGCCAGATTCCTCTGTAAGCTTTATAAATGAAGGTTCTCAGTAAGGGAGAAGATGAAAGTGTAACAGGCTAATGTAGATATAGCATTCTGTGTAAAGAGACAAACTGTGAATCAATAATTGAATGATAAAGGCTGATGCCACCGATGCAGCACAGAGGTTGTATGTTTGAATTTGTGGCTGAGTCAGGGAAGCTAATAAAGAGACATAGAATGAGGTGACTTGTCTCACCCCCCTGGAAGGTAAGCATAGCCTGAGCTAATTGTTCTTCTGTCATCAGTGGAGGTGTCTAAATTGGTGACATGAATGGTGGGTGGAAAAGCCACCTCCGGGTGTGCTTGTTTCTCTTCATTCACCATTCATAGATGCCATCTAAGTGACTAGTTTAGATCAGTTGCTTAACTTTCAGGTGGCTAAAACTAGCTAAGAAGAAAAAGAACTAAGGTGATGAGAAGTTCATAGCAGAAGACTGTCCTGAATGCACTTAAGAGAACAAAGTGAAGGTCAGGAAACTGTAGAGGAAAATGCTGAACTGTCAAGGTAGGTAAGAGTAGCTACATCTCAGTTGTGGAGCACCTGCCTGGAAGGTGCTAGAGCTGCCTTCCAACTCACGGTAGATCTCTTTTCTGTCCCTGAGACAATGCTAGAAATCAAGGCTGAGATCTGTGAGCTGATGGAAGTAGACGCAGGAGTGCAGTACTAAGACAGTGATTGGAGTCATGTGAACAGATAAGATCTCCTAGAAGAAAATAGGGGAAAGGAAGAAAGGAAGAGAATGATGAAGCTCCTCAGGATATGGCAGTAATATTAAGAGGAAATGATCTAGTGGAGAAAGTGAGGAAGTGACAAGAGTTACTAAAACCAAGGAAGGTATGGAGGAACATTTAATATCCCTTAAGGAAATAACAAATAATCAACCACAGAACAACATGAATAGGGCATATTGGCTTTGGCCAGGAGGAAGTCTGCAGAGATTTAAGTGAGAGGTGTTTTTGAGTGGAAGGAACAGAAGTTAGCCTGAATTGTCAGAGAAGAGTCTTAAGTTAAATAGTTTGGTGAAGTTGATTTAAGGTGAAACCATAGGGATGATCTATGAAGGAGAGCAGCTGGACTTGATGACTTGATAAGAGGGTTTTTTCTTTACAAGGACCAGATGACTTGATAAGAGGGTTTTTTCTTTACAATGGGGAAAGTGTATCATTCTGACACTGAAGATGGAAGAGGGCAGCAGTGCAAGGTAAGCAAGACCCATAAAAGAACAGGTTAAAATGATGGTAAAAAGAGGTTATGAATCAGAAAAGTACACAGGCACTAAGCACAAATGAAGAAAGGTGGTAGAAGAGAGGCGCTGAGAAGCCAGTGTGTTCGGACTGAAAACAAAGTGTGTGGGATCCATGCTTGAACAGAATGAAGGGTTATGTGTTAAGGCAAATTCAAGTGGAAAGAAGAGGGAGAATTTCAAAGCAGATGCATAATAGCAGGCTGAGTACAGCAGTAATTAGCCAGAGCTGAGGCAGAGCAGCAGTTAGTCGAGCTTTGCAATTACAAGTGGGAGGCCCAGATATGAAAATGAATTTTGAGCTTCCAGAATCAGGGAGATTTGAGTCCATTATGAACAGAGCGTTTTTAGCCTCCCGGGGAAAAGAAAGCTGAGCCAGGCCAGCCATTCTGAATTACCCGAGCAAGCATTATCCCCCTAGTTAGTGCTTGCAACCAAGGAACAGAAGATCTGGAGTTCTCATCAAGCCCTGCCGTTGTCTTTACGATGCTGCTTCTTTTTGATGCTTGCATACCCCTTTGGGGACCAAGAGGCTGAATTAATTAACATTTAATGTACTTTGAGATCTTGAACGGGCAGGAGCTGCAAAAATACAAAATATTAATATTGCAACTGTCCTAGGCTAAGCCCAAGGAGATGAGTGTTTCATAGCACGCAGGACCAGTGCACCTGAACTCACATTCAGGTGTGCAAATGCGTATAGGCATCTAAGTTTGGGCTTTGTTTCTGTAACCAGGCTTTCTGTTTCAGCTTCACATCTGCAGACTGGCCTAATAGTACTTCCTAATAGACTGGGAGGTATGTAGATATTACACTGAAAAGTGTCACAGTAATAAATATCTTCAATCTCTAAGGTAGGTAGATAAATAACAGATTGGAAACTGCATTGCACCAAAACTGGCCAACTGCATCCCAGCTAGTAAAGAAATATTATGAAGGTAAAGGGGAAGGCAAAGGAAACGGGAGAGGAAATGGGATACGAAGTGTGATCAAAGAACTAATTGAAAGTGAGGTGAATGTGTCAAATAAATAGTAAGAATAAAATCCTAACAAAACGCCTTCTGACATTTGTTCTAACCTATAGTTCACTTTCTCTCCCGCCTCCGTTCTGTGTCTCGTAGGTTTTGTTAGCTATGACAATCCAGTCTCTGCACAAGCTGCTATCCAGGCTATGAACGGCTTTCAGATTGGCATGAAACGCTTGAAGGTTCAGCTGAAACGCTCCAAAAATGACAGCAAACCTTACTGATCTTAACCCCAGATGCTTACTGCTCTTATTTTAGCTTTCTTAGGGTAAGTCCCATGAGCAAACCTGTCCTCTGCAGGGGGGTTAAGAAAGAACATAGAGCCAACCTTCACCAAGAGACAGTTATTTTTACAGTTACCACTTCCATTTCCCCTCTTGTCCTTATTACACTTGGCTCCCATTTCCTTGCCAAGTAATTACTGAGTTGTGTTACTGTGTTTTGTTTTGCAGCATAATTTATCTCCTTTTTAAAACAAAAATAAACGTCTTGAAATTCAAAGCAGCACACACACATACACACACAAAAAAATGTGCAATTTAACTCTGTGAACCCTGGTGCCATTAGCACACAATAAAAGTTGTTTTCTATGGATGGATCGTATTTTACCAGGGTGGCACCAGCAGTTTATAGGTTAAACAAAATGGCCTCATGCCAGTTGAAGCACTTATTTTGCAACAAAAATTGAAACAAGTCTTTCCACTACATCAACTTGTTTTTTGAGAAGATTTGATTTTTTTTTCGGTTCAAATCAACGTATTGTTATATATTAGTCTGATTTTACACTGGTCGTCTTTATATTTCACTTTTTTTTAAGTTCTTGGTTTTTTTGGAAAGGATTAATGTAAAAAAGATTTAGAGATCTGTTTCTAAAGCTACAGGGTTTAAAATAAAAAAAATAAAATAAAATGAGTGACAATACTTGATGTTTCTTGAGAGATAAATTTAATAATAATAATAAAAAAAGAAAGCCACAGGCCTGTAAATTTTATTTGTAAAAAGCATTTCTATTTTTATACAAAATTTTTACTGCCTCAGAAATAATGGAAGTTATTTATTGCCTATTGTTAACTTATTGGATACCTAAAGAGCAGCTCTCTATGCTAGCTAGATCCTTTGAAGTAGTCTCTAGAGTAATTGTGCCAAGAATGGGCGCTTTTTCACTGTTGAACCCTACACCCTTTACAGTTCATGCTTTTATCCTCTTGTTTGTATTTGTCTGGTTATTTTGTTCGTAGTTTCCATTACCTAGTTTAAAGTTCAGTTGTCTGACCTTTTTTTTCCCCCTCCCCATACCTTTCTGTTACATTTGTAGAAACTGGTTCTTTCCTCTCTTTTCTCCCCAAAGAGGAATCCATTCTCTCTGACTCCTTTCAGATGGATTCTTTTGGGGTTCCATTGTGCTCTTGTTGACAATATTGTAAGTTAATGCAAATTATGTGAACGGCTCATAGACTCTACTGATAAAAGATTTGCATTAGTTTTCTCCTGCACCCATAAAAGTGATTTTGTTTGTGCTGCATAGATTCTATGTAACTTTTTTTCCTCTTCCTTGTTTTTTCCCTAGACATCTCCATGCCCGTTAGCCCATCGTTTGCCTAGCATGTCCCTGTGGCGTCTCAAAAAAAAAAAAAAGTTTCATCGTCCCGTCATTGTTTCTGATGTCTTTCTGACCTCACATCATATTTGGTTCTCCTACTGACCTTTGATCTAGTTTGACCTTTGAAATTTGCATGTGACCTCATCTAGCTATGAATTCTGGGAAGTCAATGTGAAAAAACATTGCTGCATTCATGCAAGACTGAAATTTATTATTAGATAAATTAATGATAGGATTTAAAAACAACCTGTGGCAAAATGTTTTTTCTTTCTTTCCTTTTTTTGGTTTTCTTTTTTCCTTTGGGTTTTTTCGTTTGGGTTTTTTGGTTTTTGGTTTTTTTCATTTCTTAAAAAAAAATAAAAAAAAAACCAGACTTGAAAGTATTATACAGGGATTGGCATTCTGCCTGGTCACTGGTGACAATAGCAATATGTGTCCAGAGGCACAGAATGTTGGTTTCTAACAGACTACTTCCAAAACAGTTTGAGAAATAAAACTGTCTGATTTTAAGTCTCTAGAGGTCTGTAATAGTTTTTACATTTTTCAGGCAGTGTAAAGTTTTTTGATAAGGCCATTTTAGGTGGCTCACTTTCTCATTAAAGTATATATATAGAACCACTTTTTGTAGATTAGTATAAGAAAATATTTACCCTGTTTTAGGGCAAATGCTACCTACTTGTGTCACCTTTTGCTGAACTGACTCACAGTTAGACAATCCATGGTTTAATGCACATGAAATTACCTATATTTTATACTGTTTCAATGTACAGAAGAAAGGTTACTGTAAAATGTGTTACGTTGGTGCTTCTGTGAATTAAGTTGTGGTTTCATCATGAGTCTTATGGTCTTAAGTGTTCTATGTTTATAAAAGACGAGTTTAAAATTGGTTTACTTGAACAACAAGAACAAAAACAAGATTCAAAAAAACAAAAAAAAACACAAAAAAAAAGTTGTTTGCTTAAAAAAAATGAATTTCATGTGAAAAATGAAAAAATATTCCAGAATAAGTTTGTGTTGGCTTGTGACGCATTGATGTCATTTTTTTATTGTGAACAATTTAGATGTGTTTGTGTTCAGCAAAATGTGATCGGTTTTTCTTTTAAAGAAAAAAAAAATCAGTGAAACTATAGTGCCAAATTCCAAAGGTACTTTCTTCCTAGAGCTTCAGTGTGTTTCTTGTGTGAAGTAATTTGATAACATGGGTATTTTATTATGTGTTTTGTATAAATCCCTAATATTTAAAGAAAAAAGAGGTTAAAAAGTTTGTTAACTTGCTATCCTGTGGTCTTGTTGCCTGAAATTGTTATTGTTTGTTATTTCTCTTTGATGTTTTTTGTAAAACATTGTATAAGTGCCCATGTTTCACTTTTTTAACCACTCTGCACACATCAATGCTGTGAAAGCAAACCTCACTATGTATTTTCTTCATATTGTATGGAAACCTCTAAGGTGAGAAAGTTTTGAACTTTTAACCCTTTCCACCCAGAGCTGTCTTGAGTGTTAATACCTTTTATACATTCACCATTTTGCTGTTTTTGCTGTTTATTTTTATATATATATCTATATCTATAAATATATATATACTTAGTTTTTTGTGGTTTATTTAATACATGGTTGAAATCAGAACAATGCACAGGGCAGATCTGAAGGACAAAAATATTTTACTGCTGTCTAAATTTCTTCTGTATCTATAACTAAAATTATTTAAAACCGTAATTAACTTGTGGTTTTCCTTTTTAGATTTTGGGGATTTTGTCTTTTCTTAAAGAGCTTTTAATATGCTGCTGGAATATGCTATTCAGTATTAATAAAAGAAAAGAAAAAGAAAACAATTCTTTAATTATCTATTGTGTGAGCCACTCCCAGACAGGAGTGGTAAATCCACCATTTGAAAACCTTGAGGAGAAAAAAAAAATCATATTTTTGTAATTTAAATAAATGAACTTTTGCTTAAATCAGATGCACTAGATCTTCCTGGGTGAAAATTCAGTGTGCACTGCAGTTAAACTACTTTTTATGGATAAAGTTTACATACACTGTAATGTTTGGTGTTATCTGCCATTATTTGTAACGGCAATATATTGGCTTACTCCTGCAGACACTCGTATAGAGAGGAGTAACTTTACTCGTGCAAGTAGTCCATGGGAATATATTGGTGACTGATGTGGGTGTTTGCTGGAGGAAGCTCTGTGTAAGGAACCAGAAAAGAGATGCTGGTAGCCCTTTTCACTGCCTTGTAAGTCTGATTAGATTGCATTTCTACCGCACAAGTTGTGACCAACAACCAAATTTGGGTTTTTTGCTACCAGTATAGAGAATTCATTGCCAATCCAATGCGTGTGAGCAGCAGTACCTGCTACTGATGATAAAGTGCCATACCTTCTTCCACTTCCCATTTCTATCTGATCATATTCGAAGCCGCCTAAAATTAAAAACAAAGCCCTATATGAACATCATCAGCTGGTGCACTCTTGTCTCTCATCCCCAACTTAAATGCTTCTTTATGTAGAGCCCTGGGATGGAAAGGATTAGCCTCTAGTGATGCAAAAAAGTTTCCTTCTTAGAGCACATGCACTTATAAATAAATGATCTATACTTTTCTCACATGTTTTTACTACTGCTGGGGCCTTCCTACACCCTTTGAGGGCTATTTTGTACTACTTGCAGCAATTTTGCATACTCAAAGTATCATCTCACATACGTTATATTATATATATGTACATATATATATATAATATGAGATCATCATTTGGATTGTTTAGACTGCTTCACTAATTTTTCTCATTGTACCCACCGTATAAATTTCCAAAGCTTTTTTAGATGCCCTAGTGTGTCCTGCGGGTTTACCAGTCCAGTTCAAGCGGTGATGCCTTTGGTCCTCAGGCAGTGTAACTCGGTATCGGGCTGCCCCGAATTACGCTACACGGGACATTGGCTTAGCAGTGGGAGAGGAGGAATGTTTCTGTACTTCCAGGCAACTGAGATGGGTCATTGCTGAGAAAAGTGTCCCTCTTGAAATAAAATTTTTAAAAAAATAAATCGAGTGCAAAAACAAAAACCCAAACATACACCTCCTTGAAGACAAATTATCTACCAGTTCTCCTTCAAAACATTGAAAGGAAAAAGCTGCAAGGGTGCAAGGGCCTAATAAGAGAGGAAGAAAAACAAGGGAAATTGCTTTACAAAATTCTAATCAAAAGACTAGACTAGTTGTTTTTTCAAACAAATTAGCTAATTGCGATGAAATGGCAGTCCTCAAAGGAGTAACAAGTTCATCTTTCTTTCACCATAGGGGTTACAGTTCCTTGGCTTGTGCTACTCTGGAATCATTTTACTGTTTCTGTTTTTATTATCTTAAGTGCTAATTAACAAAAGGAAAAAAATATCCTGTAGTTTCATTACCTTTTTGGATAATGTCATACAAAAAAAAAAAAAAACAAACCTATGTATTTGTGTTTTTTTTGTGCTGTGAGAATTGTTGTTTGTAGATTAATAATACTATCATTTTGTTTAGAATTACAAACTAGTTTTTAAGTATTGTCTGAGAAAAGCCAAAGTTAATGCAATCTAGTGGAAACTGTAAGACCATTTGAGTATTGTTTCTGTTTTATTGATGCAATTGGATTTTGTTGTTTGATGGAATTTGAGCCAAAAAAAAAAAGAACAAAAAAAAAAAGAAAAAAAAAGCAGGCTTTCCTATTTCTACAACTTGATTGTACTTATGCATTTTGTACCAGTGGAATTTTTTATACTGGAGATTAAAAAACAAATGGAAATTTTTGTGGCTTACTCTCGTGGGCCCCCTCGATCATGACTGATTTTCAAGTTTGATTTCTGGATGGTAGAAAGAGAGTTAGTTTTGTTTAGAGAATTCAAAACTTTGGCTTGATTTCTTTTTTTCCCTTTGCTTATATTTAGTGTTTAGAATTTTGTCTTAACAAAAGCGGTAAGTTTTCACTTTTATTCTGTATCGTGCAGTTACACAATAAGGTAATTAGAATTAGGAGTACTCGGTCACTTTGCGTGGATAAATGTATTAGTTAAAACGTTAGGGGTTTGCTTTTTTGCTGTTTAGATCAGAGTTTTTTCTGATTCTTCTGTCCTCATTGTGAACATAACCGTGTAGTTGAAACAGTCAGACTTATTTTTGTAACGTATGTTATTGTGTGATGCAGTTTTTTGCTTCTGTCTCCAATATTAAACCATTTTCCTAATACTTGTCTCTCTACTTTGTGTGTTGTATTGTTGGTGGTCATTCTGTGTTGGTAATACATCTACACACCTCACTGTTTCACGTGCCTGTTTTTTTTTTTCTCTATTTGTTGGTTGTGTACAAAAGATACAGTCGATTCCACCTAAGTGAATATCTGATTGGGGGGCAAAAGAGGATTTGTACATTTTAGACATGTTATGGTTTCTTTGATTTTCATTTTTTTTCTCTCTTCCTCCCCCTAGTCACGCCTTATCACTTGGATAATCTGTCTGAGCAGGAAGCATTTTAAATGAGTTTCCTGCAAAGTCCTATTGAAGGTAGCTTTTGTTAGCCTTCTAACTGCAAAAGCTTCTGCACACAAACACACAGAAGCCACCTGAAAAGATTTTTTTTTTTTTTTTTTGCTGTGACATTTCAGTCAATCTGGAAAATGTGGATTATGGAGATCAATTCTTCCTAGTTGTTAAGAAAAAAAAATAATAATACTCTGCCGCTACTTCGCAGAAGCATATGAAACATTCAAGAAAAGGAGGATATAGCCTTGGGATTTCTTCCAAACTGCACAGTAATCTGATGGCATATGGTGTTAGTCAAACTCTCCTTAGAAACTAATCACATCTTAACTAGGGCTGTGAGAGCCTGCAGAAGCCTACCAGGTGATCGAGCTTGTTATGTGCAGTTATACATATAATAATTAAAAAAATAAAATAAAATCCAAGTGAGCACAGGAAGACTTTCTATTAAAGCCAGTGGAATTAAAAAAAAAAAAAAAAAAAAAAATAAATGACGGAAAAAAGATCCCCTGTTGTTCAAATGGGTGATATTTTTGCTGTGGGCTTACAAAGCAGATCATTCTCAGCATTGGCTAATAGTATTACACAAATCTCAAAAGGGACAAAAGATATACCATAGCACTTTTTTTCTCATTATTTTTTGCAGTTGGCTTTTAGCTTTTTTTATTTTCTATAATTTTTTCCTCCTCACAAGAATCTCTCTGCTCTCCCCCAACTGGTGTCTACCATGATGAAATAAAAGCTGCAAAAGAAAAATCTATGTTGTTCTGGTTTACAAAAAGTCTCTCTTCTCTCCTCTGTTTGATCACAGATACAAACCTTACAATTTGGAGGGGGGGGGGGGAAAAAAACAAACCAAACCAAACCCAACAAAACCAACCAAACCAAACCCAAGGAGGAGAGAGAAGCACTGCCGAGTGCTCTCTGGAATTCAAGCCATACGCCCCCGTCCCGTTCCTTTGTCCCACTTTCTGTGATGCTCAGGAATCGAAGACCACTTAAAAGTGCTCTTATGAGACCCAAATGACACTCTTCCCTCTTGTCTCCTCTCCCCTGGTCTTTCTGGCACTCTGGCTTTGGCTCACACACACAAACACACACACACCCTCAAGTAACGTCTTACGAGGTCATGGCGCACTGGGTGTTTCCGTGTGGTGTCAGCAGTGATGTTGGCTCCTGCGTTTGGAAGAGTTTTGAAATTTTCTGGTGGCTCATGAGTTGGCCTGGTTGTTATCGCTCAATAGATTTTTTTAAAAATATTTTTTTTTGCTTTTTTCACTTCTCCATTTCCATGAAAGGCAAATAAGTGATGAGTCTGGAGTCCCATACAAGCTCAAATGGCATCTTGCAGGGTCTGCTGTCAGAGGTCAGGGGTCCAAGCAACTCTTAAGTTTAATCTAAAAGCACAGAAGCCTGTAGTGGACAGCCCAGGCAGGAAAGCAGAAACCGATGGTCAGACTATATCCTGGGTCTCTTACACCTCTAGAGTTTATGATCCCAATTTGGATAATTTTGACACCAGTGGATTCAGTTGAGTAAGTCTTGACTTGCATGAATGATAAATCAGAATTGGTCTCTGGATTTTTTAGGTTGCTGTGAATGCGTTCTTTTTTTTTTCTTTCTTTTTTTCTCCAAAACTTGGTCTTAGGAAAGAAACTAGAGCTTTGTGAAGGGTCTTTTCTTCCAAACTGAAAAAAAAAAGACTTACACTGCAGTTGGGTTTCTTTTAAATACTCAGGGCTGAAAGATACAGGGTTTTCTTTCTTTTTTTTTTTTTTTTTTTTATTTCAACAATGGGGAAAAATGAGTTCCTTAAAGCAATGCAGCTGAACAGTTTGTCCTGCTTAAATGCATGCTTTTAATTTCAATTATGTAAGGCACCTTGCAGTGTTAGCAAAATGTCTCTTTGTTAGCTATATGTGTATCGCCATGGGAAATTACCAAACTGTCACAAGACTTGCTGATTAAAGAATAGCCTGCCAGAGTGTGTGTGCCTTTGCCTAGTGTGACTCTTAGGTATTAGGCTAAGGAAAACAGTTTAACAAAATGTAGTGTGAATCATTCCTGATAAGTGAATAAAGCATTGTGACCAAGCAATCAGATTATTCACTTATCAGGAATCGACTGTACTGATAGTTTGCCTGATTGTTTTTGTTCCTCATCTCTGTTGTAGTTTCACTACTTTGCTGTGTTCTGTTTTTTTCTCTCATGCTCTTAGCAAAATCACTGGGAATATCCCTTCGTGTGATCATGAAACATGCTACTGAGTAACAAATAAAAGAAAAAAATTTAAAATATAAAAATGATATCTTAACAAAATCTATGCACTTGCTATCAGGAACACAATACTGGATGTGTCTTATATATATTGAACTATAATAGTATTCGATTTCTTAAATAAAGCTTAAGAAAGGATTCTGTTGTCTGTAAAATTTTATGAGCATTAAATGGAAAAAAAAAAAAACAACGTGTTTCTAGGGTTGGGCGCTTTTTGTTATACGAAATCTTACTGGGTACACGGTCTTTAACCATGCCCAGGCAAATGTTATATAATTCGCTTGATATTTCATTAATAACGGAGACCTTGAAAATTAGGCTTGCTGAAGCGTGTGGGGAGAAAAAGTCTTACCGTTCAGTGACTCGCAGCAAAAGATACTAAAATGAAGAAATTTCTACCTTTTTCTGTATTGCAAAAGCAAACGTGCCTGCTTTTGCACTAAAACTAAGAAATAGCTAAAATATGTGAATCAGAAAATGTAATGAAACAATACTATATTTCTTCCACAAACAATACTATACTTCTTTTTGGTATGTGACTTTTTTTCCTCCTGATTCTAGATAGGTTTAGAATAAAAAATGAAACCCCATATGCTCAAAATCACAGATTCAACACTCGAGGTCAGAGCATCTTTTAGCGGAAGATGTGTGGCTTACTGTACGTATCTTGTATCTGAGCCTTCTCTTAGGAAAACATTTCCACATCAAAACCCATGAATTAAATGGGAGTCGAATAGCTAAAACTGTTGAGTACACTGAAAAATTTATTCCTTCGATGGCTGTACATCTGCCACAAAATTGTAGGTTTCGAACAATCAGATTTTTATGGAAATACCCGTACTACTTGTATTTAGCAAACTTTCAATAATGTCAGCCCTTGGCAGAAAGATCCAGGAGAGTGGTGGGGGTTGCTTTCTTTTTTTTCTTTTGAACTGCATTACTGCCTCACTTTTCATATGCCATTATATTATCTGAAAACAAAACAAAACAAAAAATTAAATTGTAGAACTCTATCTGCTGCTTGTATCATTGTCCTCTATTCATACATATTTCACAAATGTTATTGAGCTCAGCATCCAGTGGCCAGGTTTGTTAGACTTATAAGCCTGAAATACTGCTCCCCCAGAGAGGCCACGGAGAGGATTGACCTTGGTGGGCAGCAGGATGGTCCTGTCCATCCCGCATCTGCACAGAGCTCGGGGGGGACCCAGCCCTGATTTTCAGGGGCTGCTGACGTAACACAAATATTAAGTAATAGCAACGATTATCTCATATTTGTATTCCCTCTGATTTTCCTCATTAGCAGGCTTTCTTTTTTTCCATTAAAGGGAGCTGGAAAGTTGCAGTCATTTTATGAATCATTCACCCCGGTTGATAACCTAATTGTTTTACATGAATGCTAATATTTCCCTCTCATACATTTATATCTATCAGCTAAATCAGCAGTAAAGTAAACTCTTCTGGGATACATTCCTATATCAATTAGCAAGGATTTATGCTCCAAAGCACCATTAACATTAATGGGAGTGTGCTCTTTAGCATAAACAATTGGCGATAGGTCTGGTGGACTTTATTTCATAAACAAAGAAGCATTTGAATCTTAGAGAGTTGTTTCCTGAGGATGGTACTTCAGGGAGTGATGTCCCAGCCTCCCCGGGCTGCTCTGGGGACGTCTCACTTACAGGACGTGCATAAATTGTTGAGTTCCCAGCAAAAGGAGACAGCATCTGTTTGGAAAGTGGGCTAACTTCCCGTACAAAGTTTTGATGGCTTTTTCCCTCCTGAAAAACCTGCCTGAGAAGACACCAGGCAAAATTTTCAGCATTATCTCGCATCCCTCTGACCGATACCTTGAAAATTTTACTCTTGGCTTACCCATGTTGCGTGGTGC